TATCGATTTGATAACTGATATACATCCAGGTAGTGAAATCCATCTATCCATCTATTTACTCCATATACCCTCACCTACTCCCTGCTTATCACATATTACGCTTCAAAGCAAGGAAGGAATCAAGAAAATCCAAAAATAAAAGCAAACAAAAATGATCCCTGGAGAACCCTCCCTTCACCTTCTCTACCCCACGTACTGCCAATTCGAATTCGAATTCGAACTCGACTCCCCCCCTCCATTTTCCACACCCAACCTCCTCCTCTCTCATCTCGAGCTGGGCTTACGTGGCATCTGATTGGGGAACTGGAAGGGGATCATCGATAAAGGGGGAGAATATGGAGGGAGGAGTAGGGAAGGGAGAGGTACAAACATGATATTTTCGCTCTGCAGGTACAAGAAAGGATGTCGGTATGGGTGTGCAATTTCTAGATTCCTTTAATCTTGCATCTGGGATGGAGAAGAGAGTTTCAGTTGTCGATGCTGCGGATCCCTATCCCCGTGGCGTCGTGAGCGCGATTTCTTGGCTGAGAGGTGGAAGATGTGGTTACTATTTATTATACATTACTCGGGTGCGTGAGGACAGGTTCTCGAGTGCCAAATCCTATCGGCTTGCAATTTTTGTCATGTATGTGGAGCACTACTATTCAGTGCAGTCTATGCATTTTTGGATATGTCGAAGTTTCGCTTGAAGGATATACTCTTGTGGAACGTATACCTTGTGTTGTGTACTGAGGAATATCTTCATGAAGTACCGGGCCATAGCCCTGCTGCATCGAGTGCGAAATCTACTGATGCGATGTGATCTTTTCTTAGATAGAGCTTTCCATTTTCTTGCCATAATTGGGTTTATCTCGCGAGTTTCATAAATCAATTTGTCAATCTGTGTTGTTTAATGATTTTGTGGTGATGTTGATTTTTTTGGGCAGGGGATCGAAGAGGGAGGTCTTCACGTCAAATTGGAATTCCTATTTTCTTGATATCACCAGTGTCTTTTTCTTTAGTTGTCCCAAGTAGTTGGATTTCCGATGTATTCCGTGTAGGTTACACTACACTTTCACACCGCATCAATTAACTAAAGAATGAAAAGCATGCAGAATCAGTCTCAACAGCAACCCCGATCTGCTTGTGATCACTACCCACTTGGAAAATGATTACTTGATATATACCATAGATAACCAGTCGAAAGAAGGCCGATAACTCATGAATGAATAGCAATCAAGGGCTATGATTATTCAGTCTCCAGTCCAACACCAGGTAGTTCTTGATTCCGGGATCAATAGCTTACGTGGATTTCAGTGCATACATCTAAGGTATAGTCCAAGAGAGTATTTTTGATTGATCAGTAAATCTCAGTGTCCCTGTACCGCAATTCCAAAAGTTCAACGGCCAGCGAATAAAGGAAGGTCTGAAATCAACACCTAAGACTTTGAGCACTGACTGCCTAGTAGTAATGCGGGGTAAGACATTGCATCTCAGGAATTTAGCTGAAAATTAAGTTTGGGAAATTCTGCTTAGGATTTTGTTGTCAATGCAGCTTTGTAATTCACTCCCTCGAGCTTGCAAGACGTTGTTCATCGTGATCGTCAATTTTAACCGGGTAGGTTCGAGATTGGGAATAGTTTTGCTTTTGAGAAGTTCGACTGTAAATTACGTGAATTTCACGTAGCTACCTTGAGAAATGAAAAATTGCTTAGGGAACAGAAGAGAGAATCGATTTGTGTTGAATATTCCTGGGTTTCGAAAACGGAGTATACAAATCCTTATCACTTGGGCCCCGGGAGTATATTCTCAAAGGCTATGAAAGGCCATATTGCCAAGTTGACATTGATGACTTTACACTAGAATCAAGTCAATAGACATTGAAGTAATGTGAAGGAATGTTATATGAATATAAGCATGACTCAAACTCTATTACGCATGAGATAAAACTAACCAAGAAGCCTCATGCTTCGAGCGGTAATATTCGATGGGACCCTTGAAACGTAAGGTTTAAGTTCTTTGTAGGTCAAACTCAATAAAGCAAACGAAGCTCACTCGTTGATTTCAATCGTCCCTAGCCAGACTCTTTACAATGCACTCAACTCCATTTGCTTGGATTCGGATACATGCCCACTCACCGATAGTCCGAAGGTTGATACCAGAAATACCTTTCCAGGTCCGCAAGAACTTTCTTTTACGTGGAATACTTGGCATGGAAGTATAACCGACCAATTTAGGTTCTAGGTTCAATCTCGGAAACAAAAAGATATGCAGATAAAGAACATTGAAACTTGGTTGGTGTCAGATCATGTGGATGCTTGATGGCTGAATCACGTGATTAAAAAGAATAACCCACAGAGAAGCCTGCCTTTTTATTTCATATCAGGTCGGACAGAATAATGGATCGCCGAGAATTGTAACTGATCATGCCGTTGTACTTGAGATCTTTCAATTGAGACAATGTTGATGACTTCATCCAAATTCTATTCCCTTTTTGAAAGGATTTGCTACCTTTTGGGGACAAGCAACATACTTCAAAGTAATGATCGGATGGCTGTAAAGTGCCTTTGTTGAACCACGAGAAAATGAGGGATTGAGGAATCGAAGCTTGCATCCTAGAAATGGAAGCTTTTATTTATCGATGTGGATTCCTGCAATCAGAAGCCATAACACAACTCTAGAGGGTTTCCAACCTCGCATTTCGAAGTTCGGGTGGCTTCCAAGTGGACACAATTGATTCGTCACAACATTCAATTGTCGCTTCACCTCCACTCAAAGCTTGCGGTTGTCTCGGAAAATGGCAATCATTGACGAATCCAACATTGATCTTCTTGGGGTCCTTTGATGATCTTGAAGATCGAATGGAATATCAGGTTGATATATATGAATTAAGGAGTCGGTTTCCTCTGTTATTGTTTCAACAAATTGGGTAAATGTGATGTTCCCTACCCATCTTTCCATTCCTTTCTTTCGGCGTTTGCTCTCTATATGAAAAACGACGATCATTCGTCATCATGAACAATGGCTTTTGATAGCATCGACCCAGAAATTGACAAGAAAGCTTAACACATCATCCAAGGGAAAGTATGTGAAGTACATATGCATATCTATGAGGAGCTTCATCGATTGGTGCTCCGTGTAAGGAATCCACCAACTGTATGCAAGATTATCTCGTCCAGGTGTGTGAAGGATTCCCTGAACCACTTAAATCTGGGGAAAGGACGACTAAAGTAAGTGGTGATTTTTTAATAGATACCACACGGCAGATGTAGAAAAGTGGAAAGGTAAGAGAAGGAAGGGAGCGATTCCGGTGAAGAGACGAATGAGAAGACGATATGTTGTGTAAAGGTTGACCTTATCCAACCTTATTGAGAGTTTGGATGGATCTGTGTCGTAGTTGCTGATCTCAATAGTTTAACAACAAGCTACAACTCGAGATCAAGCACTGACTAGTGAGTGTATTGACCCCGGAAGATCAACGGTGTTAGGAATAAATATGGGAATGAATGTGGAAATTCATTAATAATCTAATCAATAAGCTACCAGTAGATGATCTGATGAAGAGTACGACCTCGAGTACCTAGAAGTCATGAGAATTATAAATCTGATGTTATGATTTTCGGATCATGCCGTTATGATAATCATGCTTCGGTAACGATCCTTTGCTTTCTCAGATACCAAAAAAAAACAACATAAGAGACTTGCAGATAGATGAGTTCATGGGATAGTTCATACGATTAATCGTACTGTACTCAATAGTATATACGAGCAATCACGCAATGATACGCAATACGACCTAGATGATGCAGTAAATATGTCGGTAGTTAGATTGAATGAACGTATTCATAATTCTTTATTTTCTTTCTAATTTTCTTGGATATTATTAATCAATCTATTCAGATAGATAGCTATATAAATAGGTAGATGAGTAGGTACTAATAATTAAATATCAAATACAACCGTTGATAATAATGATAATAACAATATTAGTAATGATAATAACAACCACCGATAATAATAATTGCAATTGTAAAGATGTAAAATAAAGTATAACTCAGTTGAAATACAAAGGAGCATGATTATATATCACAAGCTATCGTGTATCTACACATCCTCAGACATCGCACGGAGATGGCTTTCTTAAAGTTCCTTGTCAAAGAACGACGTCAGATACAAATCGGGTTTAGCTTGCCAAATTTAGCATCATTCAAGGTTAGTATGATTTTCTTTGCGGGGAAAGCCTTAGCGGCTATGAGCTAGACAGGGATTATGAGTGTTGCTATCGTTGCTGTGAGTGAATCACCTTGACCCCTTCCTCTTCACTTCACTTTCCTTCCCTTCCCTTCCACTTTCAAATTCATAATAAAGTCGATCGGGTTCCTCTCTCTTATAAGTTACTCTATCTTATATATCAATGAATGAATCTTCGTATCTCTTCCCTCTTTCTTGTCAATTCCAATTCCAATTCCAATTAAACCATAACGTTAACACTTTCTTCATCCCTTCCTTCTTTCTACCTTGCCCTTCTCTAGAATCATCTCTCTTTTCCATACAATCAATTCTACTTCATATTGTAGAACCTCAAATCAAACTATACGCTTTCCCAAAATTCCATACCAAAGTTCAAGTTCTTACCCCACACCACATACATACATTACATACCTACATAAACACACACACGCACACACTATAAAGTTACCAACCATTAGGTGGGTGACTTCAGCGGAGAAACGAAAAGAAAGAGAACAAAGAAACTTGTGGGGATAGCTCCGTTGATATCAATTCTAAGTAAACCAAACTTCATTTCATCAACGACAAAGGAATCCTTATCACACACGACCCAAATCGAATATATCAGCTTCCCTACCCATCACTCCGAAGCTGAGAGAGCAGCTTACGGCTATCTGAAGAATCTCTCATTCAACACTCGCCTAGTTTCGGCAATCAAACCATCAACGTCACCGACGTGATATTCAGCCAAATACATTTCCTACCTTTAAACTTTCAATCCAAACGCAGATATGTCTTCCAACGGTAATAGCAATAACGGTGGCACGACACCTCCAAACGAATCCTCTAGACCTCGTCGTGGTTCCATCACTGCTCAAACATTTACCAATATCTTTCGTTCAAACAGTACATCTGCCGGAGGTCCGGTTGGTCCGTTCCCGGGTCCCATTAGCACAGGCGCATCCCAAGATCATAAACGAAGAATGTCAATTTCTACACTTGGTTTATCTGGTGCTGGTGCATCTCCTACACAATCCTCGGCGTTTCCTTTTGGTGGCCGACGTGGAAGTGTATCAACTACGGCTTCTGAATCAATTGATGAAAGTGCCATTGATGACGAAGATGGACCTTCTAGAGGTACACCAACTACACCTTTTGCACGTCGTATGTCATTTGGTGCTCAAGCACTTCGAACTGTTCGTACGGGTAACGGTAGCCCGGGCACAAATGGTAGAACTCCTTCTTATACTACTTCTACATTATCCCCAATTCCAGCAGGTTCACAAGGTGGTGGTAGAGTAACCCCTCCAGGAACTCAGTCTCTACAGGCAAGCACGCAATCAAAACCCAGAACTCCCTCTGACTTTGCTTCTTCTGCTCGTCCAGGTGAAGGCGGTTTCAACTGGTCTGAGCAGCTTAGATCTCGTGCCGAGAGCCAAGTCTCTCAATCCCAACGTCCGATCATGTCAACCTCTCCCCCGAATAGTCAAAGATTTAATGTTCCAATGCATGAGCGAGCCAAGAGTATTGGTGACGCCCCAGCTCCACCCACTTCCGTCATTCCTCCTGTCGCGGCATCAAAGCCTGCTCGAAAGCAACCAGATGCCTTCCAGGAACGCATTTTGAAGGGTGATTTCTACATGGATTGATTACTATGAATACGTACACAAATTTCCTTTTGTCTTTCTCGAGCAAGAGCTTGAAAATGACCAGGAGTGGATCTTTCAAAGTTATGGCGTTTATTGATCAAATCATTAAAGGAACAAAGAAATTTCTTTACAACTATGGATTACAACCATCTGCAATTGCTTTCGCTACAATATAACATGGATACGGAATGTCGGATCTGCAGAATTGGGGGTTGAACAGACATGATGAACAATGGAAACAGAAACAACGGGAATATCCACAGCTCTAGAGAGAGCAAGAAATGGAAGGTTATTGGATTGGGTGATCGGATATCGGAGTGTACGCTGGACGTTTCATTTTCGAAATTTATTTTACTTCTTGGTTGAGGTTCAAGATGCTAGCTATAAAGCTTACTCGGCTCAGAATATGCTCAACGGAGCAAAAGATACAAGTAAAGAAAGAATTACTGAGCAGACTGGCGCTCTCGGACAGATGTGTGAGATGGAATACATGGATTCCTTGAAAAAGATCCAGACTGATGATTGATGAAACTCTTTGTATTGCTGGCGCTTGTACTTCGCTGGGATTGTGGGCGGATTGATTCGGCATGGCTTACTTGCTTGCTTACATGAATGAAATGAAACGAAATGTTGTTGGGGTTGGGAATGGGATGGAATGTTTAGTTTATGCGTCTGAGCCTTTTACGCAGCTGGCCTTCTCCTTTTCCAAATTGTACTTTACATGAACAAAATAGCTAGCTGTTCTCGGTTGACTTTCACAATGTCAGCGAGCGGATGGAATTCAAAAAACATGTTAAAATCAAAATTAATCTTGATCTTATTTTTCAAGTGTGAATTTTATTCCGACATATTGATTAAGTGTCCTGGCACATTCGACAACGTACTTGTGTGTGTCTTCATCTTCGCGGACTTCGAACTGGTTGACTACTACAAGTCTGCCTACCTCCAGCATTCAAATAGCCGGACATACATCGTACTACTACTACTACTACTACCCCATAATAACAATGGGTAGATCGGGGGCAAGCCCCCAAACCCCCATTTCTCGCTGCGGTCGGGGTGTTTGGTCGATAATTGGATGGGTGATGGGTGATGGGTGACAGGCATTGATTGGGTCATGGGTATATATGTATGTATGTATTTCTCTCTTTCTATTTAGTACCTAGTACATAGGATGTAGAAAGTTTGGGGATTGTGAATGGGATTTTATGGATGGTCTTGTGGGAGTGAGGGAGTGCTTTCCTGCGGAATTGGATTGGGCTGCGGAGGAGAGGATAGGATAGGATAGGAGAGGAGAGGATAGGAGAGGAGAGGATAGGAGAGGAGAGGATAGGAGAGGAGAGGATAGGAGAGGAGAGGATAGGAGAGGAGAGGATAGGGAGTGATACAGAGATGGAGAAGTGTATACGCATGTACATACATATGGATGTATGAAAAAACAAGGAGAAGATAGGTATGAGTATGCTAGAAGAAGCGAATGAAAATCGGGGACAAGCGTCACGGTTTGTGAGAAAACTCTGGGGTTGTATTAATTTTGGTTATTCTGCTATGACTCTGACTCTAACGCCCTGCATACATATGAGGGGTTGTTGAATGGAGGTAGAATGCGTACTCCTTCTCGGTATTGTACGGTATATCTTTACCTGTACATGTACATATCTTTCGTCTTTCTTACCACAGGAAATCATCGCTCCAAAAATTGGTATAGTTATAATATTGTCTTCGCTTCCTTTTTTCCATCCCTTTCAATCTCAAATCTACTCTATTTTCATAACCATGAACATTATGTCTACGATTTAATCATGAAAATCTATTGAACAATTAGCAGTCATCTCTCAGAAAGTAGAATCTCCTCTGGGGGCAATAAGAATACGAACCTGGTTCAGACTTGCAACATCCATACTAGCCATCCTCTTCTGCGCGATATGTCGAGCTCGTATAGAGCGTATACCCATCGGCGTTGATCTTCCACTACTTTCTGAGACTATTGGTGTGCTCTCCTTTGTGGAGGTTTCGGATGTGGAGGATGATTTGTGTTTATCTTTCTTGGATTTCTTGGAGGATTTGGAGGTAGAGGTTGTTTCTTCGGCATCCGCGCCTGCTGCTTCTTTCTCTCTTCGCTTCTTCTCTTTCTTTTCCTTTTTGCGTGCCTTCAATGCGGATTCGTCTAGGGTTTCATTTTCCGATTCGGAGGTAGATTTCGATTTCGACTTGCGATCTTTCTTGGATTTTTTCGATTTCTTGGATTCGGACTTGTCTTTGTCATCCTCATCTTCACTCTTCCTCTTCTTGCTCTTCTTTTCCTTTTCCTTTTTCTCCTTCTTGCTTTTCTTGCTGGATGTCTTCTCTTCGTCTTCCTGTTCCTCTCTCTTTCGTTTCGACGACTTCTTCTTCTCAGTCACAGGCTCTGGTGATTTCTCTTCCTCCTCATCTGAGCTAGAATCGCTTTCCTCACTACCACTTTCTGCTGCCTTCTCTTTGATCTCCAAAGCTTTAAGTCTCTCCTTCTCTCCATCAATCAAATCCTGAATTTTATCACCAATCAAAACCCCTCCCTTGACAAATCTAATGCTGCCCCATTTCCTCTCCGCGTAAATTGCTCTCTTCAAGTCCTCCCTCCCTTTCTGTTCTTTTTCGATTTCCGCTTCTTCCTTTCCATTCAACCTCCCCAACAAGTTTTGGAAAACGTCTAAACCTGTGCACTCCCCATGTCCTACTCCACTCCCTATTTTCGCACCCAATCCTAATGTATTATCTTTTATCACCACACGAATGTGCGACGCATTAGCTTCGGTATGGAATTCTGCGTGCGCGGCATCTTTTGCTCCAAGATATTCACCAGGTGTCCAGCCCTGTGATTTCATCATACGATGACCGAAACTGTCGGTATTTCCAGACCATCTTGTATTATTTGGATCGTGGGAGAGTTTTATTTTGCTGGAGAGATGTTTGTTAGTTTGTGATTGATTATGAACAATTCATTGAGAGGAAGCGATGAAGGGGGAACACACTTCTTGGGAGCAGCGAGACCCATCTTTGTGGTGGAATTGGGTGTGGTGGTAAAGAATTGAAAATAAAAGAACGTTTAATGATTTGGTGTTTGATGGATATCGAGAAATCGGAGAAAAAAGTGGTCGGGAACTTTTTGTAAATTTTAGTGGGGTAGGGATATCAAGATAGTAAGCTAGTGTCTGATTGGCTGTGTTGAGGAGCTTGAATTTCACATGCATCTCATCTCATTATCGACTTTCACTTTTCACTCAAACATTTATTCATTCAATCAACCTCAAGTACTCTTCTCGTCTGATATCGTGAATCTCCAAATTCATCAAGAACTCCTCACCTCAATTTGATATACACAGGATCAACTTCTTCAAAATACGACCCTCGCGTTCCCCATACTCTCGTTCGCAATGCCAGGTCAATTTACCATAGATGACGATGCTGAATCTCTCATATCCTCCCAAGATTCCGTTCCCGATATGGATTTTGTCGAAAGAGCCAACCAAATGATGGCCGATGTATTGTCACCTTTTATATCTTCCTTATACTTAAACTAACAAGATACCTTCCAGACGAAAAAGCGCCGTGATGCAAAGCGTAACAAAATTGAACATGAGCGTGCTCAGCGCATCAAGGAAGTCAGGAAGAAGCTTGGTGTGTTGTATGAGAATAAGAGAACCCAAAGGTGTGTCTTATTCTTTTGCAACTCATCATTCATTTTCATCCAGTATCCATATCTTGCACGGGATATGACCCCCCAATTACAGCTGTCGAACTCGAGTTTTGGCTTACATGGAAACTCATATGGTCTGTTACTAACGACCAGATAGAGGCAAGCTTCAAAAGGCCCAGTGGAAACAACTTCATTCCCTGGACAAGAAACGCCAAGAGCTTGAACGTCGTATATTGGACAGCATGAAAATCATCGAAAGTAATACTTTGAGCATAGCTCGAGAGTTCAACGCTGTTGTTCTTGCTCGTCTGAGTGCCATGGAGAAACTAGCCGATATCCAGGATGCTGCTTGAAGATATGTTTGTGGTGTGTACTACGTTTCTGTGTCAGCTATTGATATTGTCATGGGAAAAGGTTGACATCTAAGATACAAACATTGCTATTCATTATCGCTATACATATACTCACTCATAGATCCCATACTTATTTTAGGGCGTTGAACACACGGAAAGGTTAATCTGGGTTGGGAGTATGGTCGGAAGATACCCCTGAGAGCTTGCTTACTTATATTGCACATCATTAGCACAATATCAAACACTCATCTTTTCACTGACATCCAGAGTCCAAACACTTCCAAAGTCCCATTTAGTTTTTCTTTCATAACTCTTACAATTCCTCATGCCGCTAACTTGGTATCCGTACAATGCTATGTTACAATCAAAAGCCCTCTCCCTGGGCATCAAAACCCCGTATCCTCCTTCCAAAACCCAACAATCCTCCCTAATTCCGCAATCCCATTCCTAACCGAATCGATGATAACCTTGGCAATCCCCTCTCTCTTCCCCTTTCCTTTTCCAGCTCCTGGCATATTCGGTTCCTCACTCCCCATGGTGGGCAACACATTATCACTCGCAGACAAAGAGACAAAGAGTGCGAAAGGCGTCAACCATACACACAGTCCGAAATACGAAGCAATCTGCGTGAAATCCGGATATCCAGACGTATCATAGATAGAATTTGGGGTTTGTATAGGACCTGCTGCGAAATGGCGGAACCAAAGATAGTGGTTTACTATTACCAGAGCTAATGCCTATTATTAGTTTTCTGTCTGAATTCGGGATTGGGGAAAGGGGGGAGGAAGAAGGAGGACATACCGCATGAAATGAGGAACAGCGGATTGCTCAAGTGGACTACTGGGAATCGCCTCATATTCCCCAAATAGACTAGATGAGAGAGGATACTCATGACGCTGAGTTTGAAACTGAATCCATCGACCAGACATAAAAGGGCTTGGATCCCAATAATCGCGTATATCATTCGAGTCAAAAAGCGCTTTGCCATCACCGTGTGTTCCTCGACGAGCTCGGAAAGATAGTATAATCCAGAGGCTATACAATATATCAAGTCAGTAATCACACATATATACACAAAAAAATAGCATCGCCAATAGATTCAGGGGAGGCGCTCTAGAAACTCAAGCTCACGAGGATAGGTAGAATAAACTTACCAATGGCAGTAGTCAGGAAGCCAAACCCAACCGCCACGCCCAGATATCCGACAATGGGTAAGATCCACATGATGTTTGAAAATAGACAGTGAGATGTTATGAGTGCTGCATTATGTTTGCAGAGGTAAAAAGTGTAAATAGGAGGGGTTCTAAAGTTAGCTGTTCTTTACTTACCCCAGATATTCGGTTCGGTTGATATTCGGCATACTTTTTCTAGTACTAGAATTTTTATCTTCTTATCGCATTTATTCGCATCGAGAATTGATAAATTTGTGTGCAACAATTCCATTCACTCTATTTCTTAGAAAGTCCAGCGTAAACCTTGGACATACATTCTTCCTCAGGTATATTTTTATAAATAAGTAAAATCGATACCAATTCCCCAATACAAAAATGTCTCGCCCAGAAGATACACTGTAAGATTTCCCCTCCTCCCCTCCCCTCCATGCGACAATTCCCCATTACCATCTTCCTAACACACCTCTAGCCCCCCCGACCTTCACTACAATGACACCGAAGCGCGTAAATACACCACCTCCTCCCGAATCCAAAACATTCAAGCGAGCATGACCAACCGGGCCCTCGAGCTCCTCGACCTCACCACCCCCTCCCTCCTTCTCGACATTGGCTGCGGCTCTGGTCTCTCAGGTGAGATCCTCTCCGCCGTGCCCGAAGACGAAGGTGGACCACATATCTGGGTTGGAATGGATATTAGTGCTTCCATGCTCGACATCGCATTACAGCGAGATGTAGAGGGTGATTTGATGTTGAGTGATATTGGCCAGGGCGTACCCTTTCGAGCCGGAAGTTTCGATGCTGCGATTAGTATTAGTGCGATTCAATGGTTGTGCAATGCGGAAAGTAGTGAGGTCTCGAGTGCAGGACGGCTTTCGAGGTTTTTTGGAGGATTGTATGCTTCGTTGAAGAGAGGAGGAAGAGCTGTGTGTCAATTTTATCCAAAGAATGATCAGCAAAGAACGATGATTACTGGTGCTGCTATCAAGGCTGGTTTCGGAGCGGGTATTTTGGAGGATGATCCGGGAACGAAGAATGCGAAGTTGTACTTGGTTTTGACAGTTGGTGGAGGAGATGTAGAAACGAGTAATGGAGATATTACGGGAATAGTGAAGGGAATGGATGGAGTTGATGTGTTGGACGCTAGGAAGAAGCATAGAGAGAAGGGCAGAAAGGAGGTTAAGAAAGGTAGCAAGGCATGGATTTTGGGGAAGAAGGAACAGATGGAAAGAAAAGGAAAGGTGGTTAAGAATTCTAGTAAATATACAGGACGGAAGAGAAATATTGCTTTTTAAGAGGCTTGATTTGGAAAAGTTCACGTATGTATTTGCATGCAATGGCGTTGGGGAGACTGGGGTACGGAGTATCATGATATCAGTTATTTTAACAACAATGAAAGACATATTTTGTGTAACAACAGGGTCCGAATTATGATGATGCTATGCCCATATTTTCTAACAACTTGGCCCTGCAGCAATCTCGCCATCTATAAGAGTTCCCACCTGGCCTGGTGTACCATCGTTGAAATAGCAAAACAATCCAATAGAGATGCACTGCACGAACTCTAGTCTGCCCCTATGACAGTGGCCTCCGAAGGGCCAGCGGAGCGTCACATTCCATTGATGGTTCTTGTTGATGGGGGCAAACCCCCAGACCCCTATTGCTCGCTACGCTCGAAAGCTTTTTATCATTGGCCTATTCTCCATGAGGTTGAAATCAAAGATAGAGGCGATTGGACTCCCAGTGAAATGAAGGAGAGAGACGTGGTAGGAATAGGAGGAGCTCCAGATGAAACACTAAATCTTTGGACCTATATGCCATCCTTTTTGATTCTTTTCAAAATAAGAAATGTGGATTAACTCTATTATCTGTAATCGAGGTCATCCCGAATACCTTGATAGCTTCATTGCTAAAATTGGAAAAGACAAACATCACTTCAAAGTCAAGGAAAATCTGCGGATACAATGAATTTTTTATGCACTTCAACCCCTTAATGTACACGATCCATATCTAGGGTATTCTTTATACAGTCTATCCACCAATCTATGCAGCCAACTCCATCTTATCCAAAATAGCGCGAGTGAATTGGTTAGTTGAGCTGTTTCCTCCCATATCACGGGTTCTAACGGCTCTATAGGATTATTAGTGACTTGTAAAAATACAACTGGTGGTTGGTATCACTTACCCTTCAGCAATAACATCATAAACAGCCTTAGAGATTCTGTTAGCGTGGTCATCAAGACCAAGATGTCTCAAAAGCATAGAACCAGAAAGAATCATAGCAGTTGGGTTAGCTTGATCCTTGCCCTTGATATCTAAACCAACATGACGGCAACCAGGCTCGAAAACAGCAACTTCACGTCCCATGTTGCATCCAGGAACAAGACCTGGACCACCAACCAAAGCAGCACCAACGTTGGACAAAATTCCTCCGTACAAGTTAGGCATAACCATAACATCGAATTGTTGTGGTCTGGATACACATTGCATAGATGCGTTGTCGACAATCATATCGTTGGTCTCCAAAGTGGGGTAGTCCTTAGCAACATCGTTGAAGGTTTTGCGGAAAAGGCCATCTGCAAGCTTCATAATGTTGGCCTTGTGAATACAGGTAACCTTCTTACGGTTGTTGGCAAGAGCAAAGCTGAATGCGAATTTGGCAATTCTCTCAGACTTAGCGCGGGTAATGATCTTAAGAGATTCAACAACACCTGGAACTGATTGATGTTCCAATCCAGAGTACTCTCCCTCAGTATTCTCACGAATAATGCAAAGATCGACATCCTTGTGGCGAGTGTTGTAACCTGGGATGTTCTTGATGAGAACAATGGATGCGTAGATATCGAGTTCTTGTCTGAGTGCGACGTTGAAAGATTGGTGACCAGATCTCTCGACAGGTGTGTGCAAGATACCCTTAAGACCAAGCTTATTTCTCTTCAAGGATGCTATTGACTCCCGGAACAAGTCCTCGGAGTGTTTGTCTCCAGTTTCAACACCAGATACATCAACTTGTTCCCATTCGACCGGCACATTGTCTGCTTTGAAAATTGTCTTTACAGACTCGGCAACCTCGGCACCAATACCGTCACCAGGAATTAAAGTAACGGTATATTTTCCACCATACTTTGTAGGCTTGAAGATATCGGATTGAACAGTTGCGAAAGTTCTAGTGGGAGCGACGTGGGCGGTTCGCAAAAGGCTCTGATAAGAAGTTGGTATTAGCTTGTGACAGACTAAGAGAGAGACATAGACACGATTTGCAAATTAAGAATATGCAATTGAGAATCCTTCATTAATTTACATACTTGCGCCGACCTGACAGAGTTTCTTGCCAGCATCTTGAAAATGAGAGAATATTAAGGATTTTTGGTAGGTTGATTGTGTTAAAGAAAGCCGTAAATATTCAGTTGGTCGGATTACCCGTGAAAAGGTAGAGTTTAACCCGGCTGGAGATAATCAGCCTTTACCTAATTGGGAAACGGTATGTGGAATCGGTTTGTCACGGAGCGGAATTTCACGCTTCACTTGATTTTTTCACATTAATTAATCTTCGGAAATTCTAATCAAGTACTTGTATCAACACACGTATATCTACAAAGTAATCTTACAAAGTAGATTGATATAATTTGTGTATATTTGTTTCTTGAATATATATCTTTATATTCGTATGATATGGTAGAGTAAAGATTGGAGTTTTTTTTTCTAATTCGCTATATAAATCGACATAGGTACCACGATTCAGCATTTGATGGGAAATTATAAATGCCATTACGTTTACTACCTATCTGGGTATCTAGCACGTGTCTAGGTAGAGTGGGCGCTTCATTGAAATTCAATATGACGCTCCTCTGGGCCACTGCTGTGGAGTTGGAGGCTATTTCGCTTTGCTCTAGTTCTAGAAGAGTATATGTATACACGTTAGAACTTCAATTAATCATACTCTCATGCCTGTTATACGCTACTGTCAGTATCATCGAGGGGTAGTCTCGCCTTGCGGGGAAAGCTCGGGCTCTATTCTCTTAAATGCTCATTATCTCTATGCATGACAAAATTGAAGGGAGTCGAAGTACGCCCGAGTAGTCTCTCTCTTGTTCAACTTCAGTGGAATATTTGATATTCCCAAGTACTAGTTGATGTGTTAGAATGCTTGGGCACCAGGTGATGGGAGTTTGAGTGAGGTAATAATACAGGATTGTAATGACTTCGTTTGTCTCTGCATTAGACTTTAATACTCGTGTAGACAGACGTATTAAATTTCAGACCTCGAAAATTTATGATAATTCTGGTTGTATGAGGAAGTCAGGAGGCTAGTCCTTTGAGTGATATAATTCCGGCTTCTAGAATGGAGTGGGAAAAAGTAGTAGAGACAAGTTCACAAAGCCATTGTTTTCATAATTCATGGGGCCGTTCCCAGCATATCCCGAAACGGGGCATAATGAATTCTTTGACAATTTAGGTACCTTTCCGATTGTTAACGACATAACTTACTCACTGGAAATCTATGGGAAAGCTCAAGATGTCAATCACTCAAACATGACAGCTAATGCCGGACCAACACCCTGCGAGTTAATCAACACCTACTATCAGATATGTAACCATGTTACGACATCTCTTCATCACTCTACTCGCATCATATCATCCAAATCCTCCAATCCTAAGACGTCTACTTCCTCTGAAAAAACCATAATAACCTGTCCACAAGTGATCCATAACCTATCACTCCCTCCTCCACTAGATCAACGGCAAAAGTCTGAAACAACACTTTGTCCCTCGATCCTCAAACGTACACTCATAAATTCAGGATATGGATGCCCAGATTGCGAGCCAGAGTATCATCAATCAACCGATTATATTACGACGGGACAAGATCGCCGGGACGAGAAAATAGTGGACGAAGAGAAAATAAAAAAGAAGAGGATCGAGTGGTGTATGTTTGCTATTACGGAATGGGAGGCTTGGAAACAGGCAGCGCGCGGTCATGAATCATCGGCAAGGGATGGTTGAATAGTTCAAGAGGAATAGAATATGATGGACAAGAATTTAGTACTTTACAATATAACTAAATTACATCTTCCAAGGTCGCAGATTTGAGAAGTTACAAGACTCTGAGACAGTGCTGTCTCTTTATACGTAAACTTTGCTTCTTTTAATAACGTAGTGTGCTAGCCCTTCAAATACTTCAAATCTTATGTTTCTGAGTTGGGCGTAATTGGGATAACGTCCAAGCAATCTTGGTGTTTTATTCGCATAAACCTTCAGTTCTTTGTCTTGCTTTTCGATATTGTAGTATTGAGGCAACGATTTGCTATAAGCCTTCGATCTCCCTTTCCATAGCTTTGTATCATTGGTACGATCGTAGTGAGAAAAGTGAAGGGTATGGTAGGCTTGATGGCTAGGAAAGGCAGCTGATATTAGAAGTCGAGTAGTGTGATTGGTTTATAGTCGAAAAGAGTGGTAAGCAATACCATTCGCGGTAGTGATGCCTGTATCGGAGGTCAAATACTAGGATGAAAATCGATGATCGAAAAACCAGTAGGTATTACCATTTGCGGTACCGAGTTTTGGTTTGGATTGATGGAGAGATTATTCGGAGGAAGAGTGGTAAGATAGATGACATTCTCGCCCGCTCGGATCTAAATGCAGCAACAACCAGACTTTGTATATCACCGCAACTCGAACATTTAATGTTACCTTACGCTCAGCGGGAGAACACGAAGCAAAGACCATCGGGATTCTCCGTTGATATAATTCCACAATCCAATGACAGCCATCTCGAAATAGGAGGGATTCCGAAGCAAATATATGGCCTAGCCACACCACAAGTTATGGAGGTGGACTTTCGCACGGACCCATTGTCAAATTACAGTGATCTAGAAATTGAGGAGGTCCTTGAGCAAATATTTGGCTCAACCTTAGCACCGGTTGGAGTCAACTCTTTAGCGACCCCACCGTCAAATGGCAACGATCTGGAGAGCGAGGAAGCCGGTAAAAGAGAGATGGCTCAACTTAACCGTGGGTTGAAGTTGCGTTTTCTGTCAGACCAATCGTCAAACCCACTAATTCCTCTGTCCACTACGAGGGACTTGGGCCTTCCGGTAGATATAGTTAAGGGGGAGGGCTTGAGGCGGACATATGAGTTCCAGCAACCACGTAAAGTGCCTACAACCTCTCCCAATCATCTTGGAAAGCTGCAATTGATATTATAAAGGTTCCACATGTGATTCGCCCATCCTAAATGATGAATAAATTTATCTTCTGATCCTGAAATAAACCTATGGCCTGGAATGCTGCCTGTAAAACAATGCAAACACATTCTTCATTGTTTTCTGAAAGTTCGTATCACATGGTTTGGTCTACAGATTCCAGAAATGATTCCGGAGAAAGGGTTCCTTGCAGCTGACCCGCTACCTCAACACGAACTTTCTCAATTAAACCATAGAACCTAACGGTGGGAACTTGCTTCGACTTTTCCCCATGAAAATTGAGGATGTAGCGAAGTACAAAATTGCTAAAGCTTGGGCTTAGAGGCGAAGAATGAGAGGCTAACATGTAATGCCGTTGAAGAGAATGGCGGTTAGGCCATGTTCGTATGTAAAGTGTAGTAGTCATAAGCCAGGAGAAGGGTGACAATCATTGAATATATCCCACTCTGCCTTCTCACCCTCAAATAACGGCAGATTAACAAAACTTCGGATCTCGTTCTGTTCACGCCAAACGGCTGGCAGTTCGAAAAACATGTTCGAATTCTGAGACCATCAATTGAGATCGTTTTCGCGCTATTGAGATTGTCATCAGCATCCCCGACACTGAATCCATATGATTCTCTTTCATTCATGAACTAGAATGCCTCAAAAATGTAGCAAATGTTTGAAAGAATGACCCGTTTCCTCAAACTAGGTGCGTTCTAGGAAATCCTCCTCGTTCTGCATCTATAGAGTTTGTAGTTATCTAGCTCCAACTGGAGCATACCCTTGTTGCGTATCCCCTAGTCCAACATTTAAGCCCTTTCTCTTATCAACAACTTTTCTCACCGCTGCCCAACCAAGCAAGCCTAAAGTACCAGCAATGAAAGTCAGTACCACAATCTGATCCTTTCTGCTATCTCGTTGAAAGCACGTTGTGAAAACATCTTTCTCCTCGGCCTCTTTACATATTGGTAGTCGCTGAGCGAGACAGAATGCTCGATTACACAAAGTGCATGTTGCAGCTGGGGCACGAGAGTCGTGCTTCGAGTCTGATTTATCGGATGAAGAGCTCGAATGTGAAGACAAGGGAATGATGGTGCTATTCGTAAAGCAAGTACATTTACAAAAAGACGGCGGTGCTTTGATAACAATTAGCAAATAGAAAATCAACCATCTTGAACAGGTACCTACAGTCCGCTATTGTTGCAACAATCAATGTACACAACAAAAGCAAGAAGTATATGCCCCTCATCTTGTTATCTAGGGATGCGTCAAGTACTTTGAGTTCTGGGTATTTTAGATTACTCAAATACTGGTGAGATTCCTGTCGATGGGCGAGAAACTTTCCAATTACTTTGCTCCAACAAAAAACCCTCTCGATGTCACAATTGATTTTCTGGTGAAGTTGTTACTGTCATCTTTTTGCGATGTGATGATGCGCTTCCCCGGTTGTAAGTCCAAGGGTCTGCACATAATAATCCAAATAAGCTAGTGCTTTTAAGGACTAGCTCGTTTTGATCCAAAAAGTTCAAGCTCAAAGAGATATCCAAATAACATCATTGCACTTCAAACTACCAATTCACACACAATGCGTCGAATAACGAGAATAGATAGGTCTGTTGACCTCTTACGTACCCGATCTATATCACAAAATCCATTCGCATATCGTTGCTCATCATGCAGAAATCAGACTTCTTCATTCTCAACTTCTTTAAGAGGGGCAGACAAAGAATCACTTGGCCAGCGAGTGCGACGAAGTCTGTTCAAACAATCCACCGCCACATCTTCAGATCCTTACACCGGGCCTAGTCAACTGTTGGCGAAAGAAGCGGAACCAAAATTTGAACGGAAAGAGATAAGAGCACCTGAGGATGCTGAAGATTATCAGCCGGCAGACAATGGAAAGGAATTGGAAGTTATTGGTGGCTACGAGGCTTCCTGGGGCCAGGAGTTGGATGCCCAGTATCCATACAAACTTTTCTTTCCAGAAGAAAAGATCGAAAGTTCTGCAAAAACGACCGCAGCATTGCATCGTGCTTTAGTCGAAGTTTTCGCCTTGAGACAAGCTGGAAGGTCACTGTCGGAAATTTCTCAGACTCAGCCCGGTATTGATTTTACTGAGAATGTACAGATCAATCCTTCGGACTCGGGCGCTATTTTACAGTTTTTAGAAAATGGTTCTCTAGAACAGATAATCCAATCATTGGCACCCCCCATGGCGCCTTCCAAAAAGAGCAAGCAAAAACGCAAAGCTCGTCTCGCTGCAACCTCATCCATCGATGAGACTTCAGAGAAGACTGCGCCTACGGAGTCTGAAGAAGATGTAGCTGCCGACAGGTCGCCCATAGATCCTTTACACCCAGCACCTACACCCAAGATTGACGAGACTGTGAAGAAGGGAAACCCCACAGAATCGGAAGCAGATGTCGCTGCGGATCGTTCAACCGTGGACCCATTGAAGGATAGTGCTGAAGCGCTGGTCGCATCTTGGGGAAATTCGTGGCTCCAGATACCTCTCGCTGACCCAGCCATCAAATTTGCTGTAGGTTACATCATAAAAGTATTTGGTGAAGCATTTACTGATAATTATAGGTTGTTAAACGCACAATGCAATTAACAGGTCAAAGAATACCCGATCATGCAATCAACCATTCGAATACGGTAGAAAAGCTCTTACAACACCTCATCGCTCCACCCAAACCTCCAACCCTGAATAAAGCCTTGGAAGAAGAACAGATACTGTCATTACCAAATGTCAGTGTTATTGGAAAGCGTGTTACACCAATCGACAAGGAACGAAACATTGGCAGGTTGAAGGTTATCAGGCAAGAGTTCAAATCTCGAGGATTATCACAATCCCAAGACAGTGGGTGGACTGGTCGCCAGCGTAATAAGGAAATATGACCTGTGTAATTTGTACAGTACTCTATCATGACAAAATGTATTCTGCCACAAGATTGTTAAAGCCAATCGCGCACGTGCACTATTCCTTGGCTTTGCACTGGTTATTCTATTCAGACTATACTCCAGACTTCAAGAAGTGTTGTTGTTAAATACCTGGCCGGTCATGATCACATCTTCACGTTATTTTAATTCACTTTGCACTCTCCAGAGAGTCGTCCTGCAGTAGCTGTATCCTTCTGACTGTTTTATGCAGTGTCATTCTAAACTTCTTAATTCGCAACAGAAATTCCGTTAATTCCAACTCCCCTTTGCAGGTCCAATTGTCGATGACTCTGCTTGCGCCATCCATTGAGACTCACAAGCTGACTCCGTCAAGGCTACATATTTGATCTAATGACATGTTAGAGAAACGTTTTTTCTTCTTAGGTTGTTGAACTATCTTTTTACAACACCCTTCTCTGTAGATGTTCGTCGCTTATATCACATATCTTCCGAGTTTCTCCCACAAGCTAGCTACCATTCTTCTATGGAAATAATAAAGTATATAGTGGAATATCTCAAAACATTCGTTATTCTTGACGACTCCGAAATCTAGATGTGCTGAATGCTGAACCATGTTTCTCCGAAAAAAGTCTATGTCATTCCCTGCCCCTTCATACTTATCCGACTTCCCCCACACAGCAGTCTCATATTCTCGTTTTATATTCGCCAGCAGCAACAGAGCTTTAAGTTTCCAGATCTTCGAAATGCTTTCGAATATCCATTTTTTATGATCCTCTTCAAAGGTTCTAAAAATATCCGTTATACATTGTGATATACGAGCTCCTAGTGAGTACAATTTCTTCTACGAAGAGGCAATTAAGAAGCACTTCTTAACGCAATTCATCTGAACAGACAACGAAAAGTTTGATCATTTCCAAGATTTCAGAACGAACACCTGCAAAATTCTGTTCGAAGTCTCTCATCCCATTTTGTAAGGAAATATTATGTTATTTCTTGAGAAAGAAGACCAATGACTATGTTAGCCTGTTAAATAAGGTGGGAGGCGTGTATTATTTGCGACTTGTTTTCTAGAAGAAAAGTTGGATACCTTTGCAGAAGTTCGAAGGAGAGTGAACGTGAACGTGAACGTGCAAGGTGACATATAGGTAATAGGTATGTATACATAAATTGTTAAAATATGGAGTAAGTGTATAACAACCACAAAAGATCTAGTTAGTTATTGGCTTGTTGGTGATTCAGGTATCGACAATATCGGTAGAGAATGATACAAATCACACACACACATCACATCACATCACAAATCTCCCAAAAATCTCCCAAAAATCTCCATTCCCAAAAGAACAAAGCCAAATCGGGGAAAATAATAATAAAATGACATTTTCGAAGCCCCAGCAGAAATCTCTCACTTTCAAAAAAAGACAGAGACTCCGCCTAAACCTTATCTAAACCATGTCACCCCCCTAAAAAGAATCGAGCAATCATTGTCCCCCGTCCTAGCCCACCAAAATCTCCTCGGGGAGAAAAATCCCAGCAAGCTATTCCCAAGCTCCAACAATATTCGACATCTGTGGTGAAAATAAGTTGACGAAAGCTCGGCATGGCCGAGAGTTCAAAATCTTGTATTTTGTGTTCGGTAATCCCAAAATGTGTTGGCCGATCAAATATCCATATCAATGATGTGATATGATACGATATGACGACGACGTAGAAATGAAAAATATATGATTTTATGTAAAAAAAAAATTGAAAAACAATAATGAATCGAAGTTTCCAACGGCGCAAAAGTCTAGCGCAATCTGTGTACTGCAAAAAGTCTAGTCTAAGAGACAAAAATCAATGCAACAAGGAAGAAGAGTATAAGAAATGTAGAGAGGTATCGCTACAATCAGTCGAACAGAATGCTACGAGACGAAAATCTTCGTAAGCAGCGTGTCATCCTGTTCTCGGCGCGAAATCGTAGGCAATGGTATGAAACCACTTACAATTGCGCAAGCGCAATATCGGCAGCATAAGCCAAAGCGAACGCATCTCTCTTGGCCTTGCGGCAAGGTTGTCCTGGACGTCCGCACCATGCCTCAGCATTGGCCTCAGCCTCAGCAAGAGCTTCGCGCTTGCATGGTTGACCGGGGCGTCCGCACCAGGCCTCAGCAGTGGGCTCAGCAAGCGCCTCAGCAATAGCTTCGGCAGCACGCTTGACGGCACGGCAAGGTTGTCCGGGACGTCCACACCAGGCCTCGGCTTCGGGATCGGCCTCACGCTTCTCCTTGCATGGTTGTCCGGGGCGTCCGCACCATGGCTCAGCAGTACGCTTACATGGTTGTCCGGGACGTCCGCACCAAGCCTCTGCTTCGGCGAGAGCCTCACGTTTACATGGTTGTCCGGGGCGTCCGCACCAAGCTTCGGCCTCGGCAAGAGCCTCTCTCTTGCACGGTTGTCCTGGGCGTCCGCACCAGGCCTCAGCATCGCGCTTGCATGGTTGTCCGGGACGTCCACACCAGGCCTCAGCCTCGCGAGCAACGACTTCGGAAACCTCACGGGTCTCGATGTTGAGGGACTCGAGGAATGCATCAGTATCCTCGACGGTCTCGGCAGTAGCCTCGGCAAGATCTCTTGCGAGTCTCTTGGCCTCGAAGCAAGCTCCTCCAACCATGTTGCATCTCTTGATGGCAGCCTCGGAAACATCGGCTTCGGCATCACGTTTGCAAGGTTGTCCTGGGCGTCCACACCATGGCTTGGCGAAAGCCTCAGCGACAGCCTCAGCGGCGCGCTTGTTCTTGCGGCAAGGTTGTCCTGGGCGTCCGCACCAAGCTTCGGCCTCGGCCTCGGCGAGAGGAGTACGTTTGCATGGTTGTCCGGGACGTCCGCACCAGGCTTCTGGGAGAGCCTCGCGCTTACATGGTTGTCCTGGGCGTCCGCACCATGGCTCGGCATCACGCTTACATGGTTGTCCGGGACGTCCACACCATGCCTCAGCGACAGGGGCAGCGACGGCGACGGCCTCACGCTTGCATGGTTGACCGGGTCTAGAAGTATATGTTAGCAATGAATTCTGTTAAGAGATAAATCAAAGGGAAAAGAAATTGTCTTACCTTCCGCACCATGGCTCTGGGACCGCGACGGCGGTGGCAGTAGCAGCCAAGATGGCGAGAGCGATTGCGTTTGTGAACTTCATAATGAATGTAGTTTGAAGGTAAATGATTTATAGAGTGATTGTGGGTGTAAAATCTTAAAGATTGAATATGGGTAAGGAGAAAAGAAGAATCGTATCAAAAGCAACGAAGTTGACGTGATTTATAGATGATTGGATTATGCGCTGTTCAAGATGAACAAGAGGATAAACCGGGAACTCCGTACCTGCGGGTCCAAAGAATCTTTGAAGAGATGTCTTTCTATTGAAGATTGAAGAGGAATATTTCCTATTATGGGTCTCAATAAGTTCTGGAGCAAGAGAAAAAGTACTGTGACGACAAAGGCTTTGGAAACAATTTCTTTGGAAGGCCGACCACTTTATATCCACGTAGTGGGTTCAACATGATGGTAAGAAACGTCGCTTTTCACTCCATGAACAGAGTTTTTACAGAATTTGAAGAAGCAATCTCCGAATTGATTGCGGAATCGATTATCATCTCAACTTATGGCGGATTGAGCCGATGTCAATTGCATTTCATCTCATGTGTAGATACCCACACCTCATGGACTAAGAGCAATGTTTCCTGACTTCCCCGCCAGATTCACTCACCTTGCAGAAAATTTCTTCTACATCAAAAGACTTTTCTGCCACTAACAGAGAATCTAGTCAAAATTTCAAAGAATACTGTTTCAGATTCTATGAAGATATATAAAGAGTGAATGTCTCGTGACTTTCATGGAAAAAGAAGTACTCTATTGAGTACTCTATCAAGATCTCATTGAGCACCCCTTTCGTACTCGCTTAAAGAAGAAGAAAAGCAAAACACACGATTTTTTTTTCATTCATCCCTTAGCCCACCCAATGAATTGGCATACATCAACAGAAAGCGAGTACGAGATGAAGGTATTCTCAGACTAAAGATGAATCTAGAAAACATCAAGAAGATTCTAGAACGGGCTTATGACTAGAGCTGCAGGACTTCGTTTGTTGATTACATGGAGGCCAAAAGAGGCAAACATGAAGACAAACATAAGGAAGCACACGATATCCTTTGATGAGTTTTGATAGACAAGTAGAATCATAATAATAATAATACCGGAAATACCGAGCAAATCGTAACAAAATCAAGTGGCCTAACGTGTTGAGAGCTTTGATCGGGACAAAAAGATGAGATATCAAGATTCAGGATTGAATTTGGTCTGATTCATGAGCTTTTACGAAGCGCGTGGGAACTGTTTTGGAGGAAAGAATTACGGCAAGCTTCGTACAAAGCTTAAAACGGACGAAACGAACTGTCCCTAGGTAGCCACTGACTTACTTGGCGTTCGCTTACTGCAATGTTAAGATGTTCAAATGCCAAGGATCCTTAGAGATGATGTGCAATCATTAATATGAACAGAGGAATAACGTACACCCAAACCAAAAACTATGTGATGAAATCTTCAAAACAGCCATTGACTTCAGGGCTGTGGAGCTAATTGCCTCTTGAATTGAAACGTAATCGAACATTTTTCTAAGCTACAAATATTTTGTTACATCTACCCAGAACGTTACTATGCTCATCGACCATTCTTCTTATTTCTCCTTGTTGCTTTGCCATTGCCGTTGATTGCAGTGGTCTTAACCTTCTCAAGAACTTCGAAATCGTCAGCACCGGAAGAGCTGGATGCTTCTTCAACCTCTTCATATTCTTCCTCAACTGGAGTTTTGTTCAAGACACGACCAATAGTTTTATTGAAAGCGAAGATTGGCAAGCGGAAAAGTGCAGTCTCTCTCATGGAAGGGGCAGGCAGCTCGTCAAGCTAAGTTGTAAGTTAGTGAGATGTCGAAAAAAGTTACGGAGCCACTTACATCAAGCAAAAATTCTTGGGTTTTGCCATCCTCGTCGGCTTGTTCCAAGTAAACATTATTGGCAGAGTCAACCACGAGAATTTTGCCATTTTCAGCAACAACTCTCTTCTTTGGTCCAGTAATAGAGGTTGGAGTTCCGGGTGCTGATGCCTTAGCCTTCTTGACTTTCTTTTCAGTCTTGTCAGTCTTGGAAAACTTCTCTTGCCTGCGTCGCTCTTTGCGATTCATTGGTTGCATAGGATCGGCATCACCGTCGGTATCGGTTCCAGGTGTAGCGGCTGCATCGAGGCCAGGAATATTGAGATTGGAATTCCCACCCCATGCAGCATTTCTTGCAAATGTGATGTACCTTTCAACAAATTCGCGCTGTCTTTTCCAACTCAAATAGAGGGCGAGATAATGACCTCCACCTCCAACGAAGATGAAGAGACCCACAAGCACTGAGCCAAAACCAGGACGGAATCGAGCATAGTAGTATCCAGTGCCCTTCCACTTTGGAAATCCATTTTTCAAGAAGTGATCGTAACGTGCGCGACCCTCTCCCAAAAGAATTTTATTTATAAGACCCAAACGTGTGAATCGATCACTAGCTTTTTGGTAATGTGCCTTGATTTCAGCTTGCGAAGGACCCTTTGAGACATTGGCACCAGACTTCTTGTTCTTGGACTTTTCGCCCTTTCCTGTAGATTTATCGGCGACGAATTGAGCCTTGACCTTATCGGGATGTTGAGTACGGGACTTCTTCTTGTATGCAGCTCTTATTTCCTCTTGGTTGGCAGATGGCTTAATGTCGAGGAGATCGTAAAATGTAACCTCAGGGCCGTCATGGGTAGCAACCTCGTTCTGCAGACGAAAGATTTCCTGGTCTATAATTTGCTATGAGCTAATTGATCCATTCAAAGGTGTGCAAGACGTAATCAAGGTAAGGAATTGGGCCGAAATTGTCAAATATTAATGGGATGGGCTACATAAGCCAACTCACCTTCTTTACTCCATGCTGCAACGAAGGCCAAAAGGCAGGCCAATATGGCGAAGGTATAGAAAGAACCTCTCATCTTGCCAGAAGGAAGCAGAAGCTAAGAGTATCAATTAGAAGAAGCACACCGATGATGTGTCCCTTCTGTTATCAATACTTTCTTACTTTCTTAATTTACAGGAACTTTCTTCTGGTGAACGGGAATTATATAAAGATGACAGCGAGATTTTTAGGAATCAGACAAGGATGACCGCTTAGTGAAATTCTGGACTGGTGTGGATTTTGGCTCATTGGGTAGACTCGGTATTATGGTGGTAGCTGGAGGTATACGATAGAATAGATAGGTGTTCTTTGATAGGCTCAATGAGTTGAGAACAATCATACCAAAGGTAGCCAAACAAAGTGATGTACATACGAGTATAAGGTACCATTATATCTTACATTTCACACCTGCTGGAGACTGGGTGGGTGCTATTTGTTATTTGCTTATTAATCATCCATTTGGTAACAATTCCATAGGTGCATAGGTTGAGCGATGGGGGAATCTCATCGTCGCACAAAGTTATGTATTTTATGTCCTGAATGTATAATTATATGATTATATGTATGGTCTCCAAGGTTCCATGCCTTGCTGTCTCCAATGATGAACAGGAACGAGTGGGTAGTCTTGAGATAGCTTCATGCATTATGCAAGTACACGCTTCTCTCTCATCCCTCCATCCCTCCATCCCTCCATCCCTCCATCCTTCCCATCTCTCGTACTTACTCGCCCTTCGCCCTTCCAAGTTCTACATCGGTATTTCTAACCCAAAAAAACGCCTACCGATTTACCCAAAGCTTCACCGCAACCCATATTAAAATCTGTACTACTGATCCCACTTGGAACTTTTCACTCGCCTTTCTTTCCTTCTCCTTCCCCTTCTCATCTCTTGATTCTTCTTCTCTTCCAGAAGATCTTTTACAAGAACTTTGACGAAGGAACTTCTCGAATCTGCATGTGTTTCAGGTCCCTTATTTAACCCCCCTGGCTGAACGCCCGGACTCTTCCTCTATTGAGGCTTTTTTTTAAATTCCTAATCTTCCTCCCCGGCAGCTCTTGCTGGGGATCTTCTACAGAAGGTGTAAGGGGCCAATCGTTCGTTCGTTTCCTTAAGGGATAAATTCATCACGAAAGTTACTCTGCGCAGAGACAATCAAGTGCATCCATCTATTGAAGATTTATCTATTGAATCTTAATTCACTTCTACACTCACGTACGCAACTCATTCGTAAGTCTTTTCTATTATGACCAATTGATGATATTCTTTCATTCGTGATTTCTACCTAACTTGCTTCCATTATCTCCTGCCTATTTGATGACGAATGCTGACCAGAGCTTTTTATATATATTGACAGATCTCTTAAACAAAGGCACTTCAAGGGAAAAGACTTATCTTCGGACTTCTGACCCAACCTTCTTCCTTCTTTACAATTCCATTCAAAATACCATTGAAAATACTATTGAAAATACAAGAATCTTGAAGAATTCTTCAGCGATTCACAAAGTAGTCCTCTACATTCATCAAATTTTCATCAAACATTTGGATTCTTCTCACCAACAGATATAATGTCTCGGATCAACATCCCGTTCGACATGATCTCGTCCAGATTCAATCTGTCCGACAGATTTTCCGGTGTGCGGGCACAATCTCTATCTACTAGATTTGCCAACCTCAAGCCTGTCAATGAATTCTTCGATTTCAAACGCCTTTCCAAGCCGGCAAACTTTGGTGAAGTTCAGTCCAGAGTCAACTATAACCTTGGACACTTCGCCAGCAACTACTTTGCTTTATTCATTATGCTTAGTATTTATAGCTTGCTCACCAATCTCCTACTCTTATTCGATATCATCCTCGCCGTAGGAGGAATGTGGGCTATTGGAAAGCTCGAGGGCCAAGATTTGAACTTTGCAGGTTTCCAAGCTACATCCTCGCAACTTTACACCGGTCTCTTAATTGTCGCAGTTCCTCTTGGGATCATTGCGTCACCATTCACAACGCTTCTCTGGCTCATTGGAGCAAGTGGAGTTAGCATCATAGGACATGCCTCATTCATGGACAAACCAATCGATGAGGCTTTTTCCGGGGAGGCGGTCTAGACGGTCGGCCGCAATCTCCCAAATCTATGCCCCAATGGGGAAGACCATCAGGGGCGAAGGGGAGCAGGAGGAGGAGGCAGTGGGAGCAGGATCAAGGACATTGGCAACAGTCGCGTGTCGAGGAGCTTGATAGCGAGGGTGATCCAGATACACAAGGCGTTGGGTTACATTTGGGCGAGAAACGATTTGCAAGCGATCCGCTTCATTTCACAGGTATAGATATTTCTTCAAACACAAGGCCTAGGCGAGGATATTCATATGACGAGGCCGAGCGATCTTCCGAGTCCGATTCCGAGTATTCAGACTACCACGAAGGTGGTGACAAACAATTAGCTTTACGAGGGGATAACGAGGAAGCAATAGTACAAGGTGCTCTAGCTCGTATTCGACGCGCTCAAGAAAAGGGAAGGCAAGATGTGAAGCTCACGCAAGAAGAGCTTGATGCATTAGAACGCCGACGAATTCGTATGCAAGCCGCTGCTGCCGCGAAAGCTACCAGAAAAGGAAGCAGCGGAGGCGGAGCTGAAAAGAAACGACGAAGCGATCGGAAAATTGTTGATATTGCATCTCTTATGGACCCCAAGCCAGCCAGTGATCCAAAGAAAAGAAAGTCGAAAAGAAAATCTGGTAGTTCTTCACACAGTGCTGCCGCGGGACCTGGAATTATTGTTGATGGACCAGATGGACCCTCGTATACTCCAATAGGTGGCTACCTTCCTTCGGACAGAGGCACATCTCGTTCTCGTTCATCAGCACGTCATGGCCATTCACCCCCAGGTACGAGTCGACATTTCTCTGACGGCATGCGTCCTACTTCCCATAACAACAGTCCTCGTCGTTCCTTACCCGAAGAAGAAAGCTGGCATTCTACCAATAACAAACGGACTTCTCTTTCTTCTCAATACCATGTTGCTGATCCCTTTGATTACCAGGTTACCGCTGATCAGCCACCCCCCGCCCCGCAACAGTACACACAGTCATCTTCAGGTCGTCATAATTATTCTGGTCCGGCCGATATTTCTTACACTTCCGTTCGACGCATTCCACCACAGGGCTATGCTGCCACCGATAGGATCCCTTCTGATTCATCCCTCAGACATCGGACTTCTCCGAGGGGAGAAAGAGAAGTCATAACTATTCCTGATAGTAGTGAAGAATCAGACTCAAGCGATGAGCTAGCAAGAGGAGTACAAGTTTTTCCAGAGGAACGAGAACGAGTAGTTTCTAGGAGACCTGCACCTGTGATTGGGAGTGGGAGTGGAAGCGGGAGAAGAAAAGGCAAAGGAAGATAAAAGTATGGGAATCTCGTTTATGGAGCTGTGCAATAAATAGACTTTAACTCTTTGCTTTTCAATGAATCACTTCTTGCCTCAATTGTGTTTTTATGATTTGTGAGATGTAGTATATATGGCTTTGATCTAATTCAGAGCGTCGGTGATGGGATTATACTTGTAATATCTATAAACGCACCTGCGTGATACCCACATCTTCGGGCTTGATTGATGGCGATAGGAATACTTGAATCTACAACTATATGTCTGCATGAACTATATATTGAGTAGAGAATTTTGAGTAGAGCAAATGGTTATGCATTGTATCATGATTGAAATTATATTTGTATTGATTGGAGTGAGTTAGTGTCGAGAATTGAGAATCATTGTGCCGATTACCTATTACCTATTCGTGTTCCTTAATTTCCCCTATTCATTTCTCTCTCCTATCTCTCCATCAAATTACTCTCTCTCCGTTCTCCCCTCCCCCTTCACCAAAAAAATAACTTCCTACTGAAAACTCATCCCCAACACCGCACCCACATCTCCACCCCTCCTATTCAAATCCAAAATCATCTGACCAAACAAGCCATTCGCCCAACTGAACCATTGGCGACTCCACTGATGCTGATCAAACGAATTGATCGATTCATGAATAAGACCTAGTCCGTCGGTGCTGCTGACGATTTCCTTGAGGGTGCTGTAGATCTCGGTTGGGGAGGAGGAGGTCAGGATGCGGATTATGCTGGCCATGGGCCAGGCGCGGCCGGGACCGACGTGTGGACCGCCGACACTGGGAAGGGTGTTAGTGAGGGGAATGATGGGGGACAGGGGGAAGTGAAGAGAGAGGAGATAGACTTACGCGTTAATAACGGGGCCGCGCATGAAATAGGGATTATCTTTCGAGAGGATAAACTTGCGGGTGTTTTGATAGATGGTATCATTCACGCTTAGATAGCCTAGGAAAGGAGCTGCAAGGAGAGAGGGGATATTGGCGTCATCCATACGGTTTGCTGGTGTTGAGTTAGATGATGAGCTTTTAATTTGCGAGTTCGAGAGATAGATGACTTACCAGAACCGAATCCATCGACTTCGTAGGCGTATACTTTTCCGTAAACGGGATCATTTACAATACCGTGTTTGGTGATGGAGGCTCGGATGCTACTGGCGAAGGTGTGCATGTGGTCTGAGAGATCTTGTTGGCCGTAGAGTTTGGCCATGATTTTACTGCATGATTCGAGGTAGCGGGAGAACATCATGTTTGCTGGGATGAAGAGCTGGTAGATGGTTCTATTGTTATGGGATGTTGTAAGTTTTCATAGTGTCTTCGATTTTTGAGGGGTACTACTTACGCATCGTCACTGGGTCTAAATGCAGATCGGATCAGTCCAGTGCCTTCTTGTACGGGATTTCCAGCTCCAGTGTTACCCAGTGTCTCTGTTGAACTGGTTGTCTCTCGTAGCCATGTGTATGGACTTGTATTGACACTGCCATTAGCAGCATAAGTTCCGATCAAGAGTCCCTCCGTTGTGGAAATGATGGTCTCAATAGCATTGACCCAATTGAATTTTTGGAAAAACTTGATATCCCCCGTAGCATCGTAATAGTCGCTGGAGATCTCTAAAAATGCAGCCAAAGAGTCTAGTTCGTATTTACACTCAAAAACAACGCTGGTGGGTTCAGCGGGAGTAAAGGTATCTGGGTTTACTTGATTTTGCTGTGGTGGAATTCCACTTTCGGCGGGTGCTTGGAAGGAATTGCAGTATGGTGCTTCGAGGATATATCGAGCTTGGAGATTGATGACACCTCGATAGAGACTTGCGAGGGAATCGTGAGACGAATCATTCGTTAACAATGGCAAGTAACTTTGCATCTGGTTTGCCGAATCTCGTAGCCACATCGCATCGATATCTCCCGTGATCAAGAACGTCAATTCTTCTTCCGCGTTATCTGCTGCATAGCCTCTCCATTTCACAGCTGTATCGAGAGAATTGGGAAATGAGTTCTGGAATATGCGGTAGAGATCAGGGTCTGCAATCACCGACTCCATATCGCTGATGGTTTTCTCTACAATTGAGGAGTTGAAGGTCCGACATGCTGGTTCTGGTCTCATCCATGATAATGCATATCTCCCACTGCTAAGGGGTGGATGTTGTGTGAGAGAATATTGAGAGTAGTCTGGACATTGTGCTTGGACTCTAGAGAGCAAGAATGCAGCCGTAACGGTGACGTTATTGGAGAAGACTCTCATGGTAGTTATGGAATACTCTAGAACCAGTGATTTGAAAGGATGGTCTAGACTTGAAGTAATTGAGAGAGGAGAATTGGTGCACCTATTCCCTACAGTAAGTGCATATGAATCTTAACCCAAGCAAACTCTGATGGGATATGATCGTATATACATGCAAGTCTGGCCAACATCGGTTAATCAGGTACGAGTTGTATTGAGTTGTTTACCCCGCGATCTCCTCTCAATTCACCACACAACCATGCCGGTTTAAAAACTATTCACTGGCGCGTGAGATCATTATGCTTTTGTCAAGCTCCATACGTGACTCAAAAGAGGAAGGCGTAAAGTATACGACCGGACGATTCGTTGCAATTTCATCGATTCGCCCACACCCATGTCAGGGCAGATGCACCAAAAGGTCATTTGCTATCCATCGGATAATGGCATAATAGATGGACTATTGAACAGTGAACACCTTGTTTGCACAACTGCACTTGCTTGTTGTCATTGTGGTGCTCTTAGTCAAAAGGTTGTGATCTGCGAGTGTTTGCGGGGTTGTGCTTGCTTGGCATACGAGCATACTTCGCGGTAATATCTGCCCGAGCCGAGATATTGGTTGGTGAATGGTGTGGTTTAATTCCCGAGAAAGTCCCGGTTGATACTTTCGTTCCGTGATCAATTTGTCCCTACGAGCTCGCCTATCGTGCATCCTTCCTACCTTGGTTGAAAGTAGTAAGATGGTGATCTGCTTTATTAGCATCTAATAGTCGGGCTCTTCAAGTGGCCGACTATCAGTGTTTAGAGTGTGAGGTGGTGTCTTAGAACCGTGATGTCTACTACACATGTGGTTAAGCTTTCACGACAGTCGTTTGTACAACGAGAAGTATTGATGGCTACGAAAAAAAGACAGCTGTGTTTGTGTATGAGAATTAGAATAAGAATGTACCAGATCATGATCATGATCATGATCATCTCTTCTGTTTAAGGGAAGGATGGCAGATGAGTTTACCGTTTCCATAGTTTTATACTTATCAGTTGCACGACGTTTTAGGAATAGTTCAATTTGTATGTGATACTTTGTATGCGCGTGTTCATTGCCATTGTAATTGTAATTAGAGATAGAGTAGAAGCTGGTTGCTGTCTGTATCGTCGTATGGGTACACACAACGGTGGTTCGGATTCGATGTATTCTCGTATTCTAGTAGTAGACGGCTTCTGTTGAGTAGGTAGGTAGGTAGGTAGCATTAGCTTATCGTTAGGAGCAGGACAGGGATTATTTGAACCATACACACAATCATACAATACTGTATGTACATCTTTTAAACCTATCTAGTAGCTATCTAGCATCTATTGATTTTCTATCATCACGAAAAGGCAACTCTCACACATCTTCATTTCCAATTACCTCTCACTACTTTTACTTTTATCGTACATCCTAATGAAATGATTAACTGAACTGTGGAAATTTATGCTTCGCGATTTTTTGTATGCGCACGCGTAGTGGGGTTGATATAAAAAAGATCTCGAGCTTATGGACATATGACTTCGACTAACATCGAATATGCGGGCAAGATACAGCATTCGCAATTGCGGTTTCCACCTCGGGCACCGGTTGGTGCCCTTGCGGATACCATTGCGAATGGTTTCTACACAGGCGGAACCCGTCAGCGGAAACCAGCGATTGAAGCATGAGAGACTCGCCAACAAAATCGAGCAAAATCTGAAGCGTAAGAAGTTCGTCCAATCGAACGATTGGGTCGATGAGACACCGGCTGGACAGAAAAAGATATTAAAACCATTCGATGAGGAATTCCACAACACTTATTTACCCAATGTCGTCGAGTCCTCCTGGTATAGCTTTTGGGAGAAGCAGGGACTTTTTAAACCACAAACAGATAACGACGGCAGCCTTAAACCGAAAGGAAAATACGTCATTGCTATGCCACCACCCAATGTGTGAGCTGATATATGTATTGGTAATATGGCTATCTGCTAACGCCAGTCGCAGGTCACAGGCAGATTACATATTGGGCATGCCCTAGCAGTTTCATTACAAGATACCCTTACTAGACTACATCGTATGCAAGGCCACTCAACACTCTATATCCCCGGCTGCGATCATGCAGGCATTGCGACCCAAGCTGTTGTCGAGAAGCAGCTTGCCAAAAATCCGAAAGATGGAAAGTCCAAAAAGCAGGATTTTACAAGGGATGAATTTGTACAGCTATGTGAGGACTGGAAGGAGGTATATCAAGAAGCGATTATCAAGACGATACGCAGACTAGGTATCTCTCCAGACTGGGACCGCATTGCCTACACGAGGAGTGAGCCATTTTCCAAAGCGGTCAATGAGAGCTTCGTGCGGTTTTTTGAAGAGGGCCTCATCTACCGAGCTAATAAGCTTGTGCATTGGTCATGCAGCCTTTCCACGTCTATATCCACGCTTGAAGTTGACCAAAAGGAGCTTCAAGGAAGTACCAAACTTAGTGTGCCAGGTTATGACAAAAAAATCGAATTTGGAACATTGACATATTTCAAGTATCCAATTGAAGGATCTGATCAGACCATCGAAGTTGCAACAACAAGGCCAGAGACAATGCTGGGTGATACTGGCATTGCCGTGCATCCTCAGGATGATCGATACAAGGGTTTCATTGGCAAGACCGCGCAACATCCATTTATCGCCGACAGAAAGCTAAAGATTGTCGCCGATGAATATGTTGACAAACAATTTGGAACTGGCGCTGTCAAACTGACGCCTGCTCATGATCATAATGATTTCGATTTAGGCAAAAAACATAACCTCCCATTCATCAACATCTTGAACAAAGACGGTACTCTCAATAGCAATGCTGGCCCTTTTGCTGGAGAGAAGAGATTCAATGCGAGGTACGGTGTTATCAACGAACTCAAGAAACTCGGTCTCTATACGAAACAAGAGCCGAATAAGATGGTTGTACCGATTTGCAGCCGATCCGGGGATATTATTGAGCCGTTCCTGATACCCCAATGGTGGATGAGAACGAAATCATTGTCGAAAGCTGCAATGGAAGTAGTCGAAAATGGCGAAATCATCATCCAACCAAAGACGCAAAAGGATTTATTCTTAGAAAGAATGCAAGATCCCGAGGACTGGTGCCTGTCGAGACAACTATGGTGGGGTCATCGAATACCGGTCTGGGCAATCAGTATCGAGGGTGAAGATTGTGGAAATGATGCCGATGAGGAGCACTGGGTATGTGGCCGGACAGAAAGCGAAGCTCGGGAAAAGGCAGAGCGAAAATTCCCCGGCAAGAAAGTTACACTCAGGCAAGATGATGATGTATTAGATACCTGGTTCAGCTCTGCACTTTGGCCATTTGCCACCCTTGGATGGCCAGAAAAGACGTCAGATCTCGAAAATTACTTTCCGACTACGACTTTGGAGACAGGTTGGGATATCATGCCAGTCTGGGTCAGTCGTATGATCATGTTCTCTTTGAAATTGACTGGAAAAGTGCCCTTTACTGAAGTCTTCTGTCATGGTTTGGTACGCGATAATGAAGGCCGGAAAATGTCAAAGTCACTTGGCAACGTTATCGACCCGATCGATATTCTTGATGGGATCAGCCTAGATGAATTGCACCAAAAGTTGCTTCATGGCAATTTGCCTCAAAATGAAGTCAAGAACGCCATCAAACACCAAAAAAAGGCCTTTCCACAAGGTATTCCGAGGTTTGGAGCTGACGTTTTGCGGTTCTCGCTCATAAGCCAAACTCAACTATCTGGCAGCGATATGAAAATCGATATGAGAACGATGACTGGCTCCTCTAGATTCTGTAACAAGATCTATCAGGCCACGAAATATGTCCTTGGAAAGCTTGGTAGTGATTTCGTTCCTCGAGAGAGCAGTGCTTTGACAGGAAATGAGAGCCTCCCAGAGCGATGGATCTTAACAAAGATGAACACAGCTGTGAAACAAATTAATCAAGCACTAGAAGAGCGTAGGTTCGGACTGTCGACCAAGATTAGTCAACGGTACTTGTACGATGAGTTGTTTGATATTTATATTGAGAATTCAAAATCGATCATCTCAAATGGCACACCCGAAGAAGCTCGTTCAGCTATGGATACATTGTATACCACAATCGAACATGGCTTACGACTTCTATCTCCCTTCATGCCCTTCTTGACTGAAGAGCTCTGGCAGCGGCTACCACGCAGACCAAATGACAATACACCTTCGATCACAATCGCTGAATATCCACAGTATGAGCCATCCTTCCATGACATGAAATCTGAGGTGGCTTATGAGCTTGTGCTAGGCTGCTCGAAAGGTATCCGTTCATTGTTAGAGGACTATGCTGTCAAGGACGAAGGTGTTGTTCATATCTCCTGCCTTAATCAAATGTCATACGATACTGTGTCAGCGCAACTCCCTACGATTCAATCACTCTGCGCAATCCGTCGCAAGACACCAGTGAAGATCAGTGTTGCGAAGGCTGGAGAAACTAAACCTACTAACTGTGCAGTTTTCCCTGTTTCAGCTGATGCAAACGTTTATCTTGAAGTCAAAAATCGCATACAGGATGCTGCGAAGGAGGCTGACAAGTTCAGAGCGAAGATAGATGAAGCAAGAAAAGAACAAGTTGATGTGTATACCATCAAAGCAGAGCTAAGCAAAGGTTCCGATACTATTCAGTTTTACGAGAACCGGGAGCGAGATATCGATGCAAAATTACAAGCATTACAAGAGACCGTAGAGATGTTTGAGAAGATGAATGTTTAGGCTGTGAGGCCCTGCTGGCTGACAACATGACCGGATAGTACCACCTCACAGCAGGATTTGATCAGGCTAGAATGTATAAAGGATTCTGATGGAGGAACGTGAAATGGCAGGAGAAATGTGGTCACTAAGTGGCCGTCTTCCACTAGACTAGAGCATAGAATGAGGCACTCATGCTCATTGTATATTAGAGATACAGAGTCCTTCGAACTCTCTACTCATAACCAATAGTATAACCAATAACTCACTTCCTGATATGCGATGTGATTTGTGAGAAATGCAATACATCATTTGATATTATCATAATTTTTCATAATATGCGTGCCACATAGGCTCTAACATTCACATGCCCGTTCCAAGATTCTATTTACCGTCTACTAATGACTTGAAGGCTTGCAAAAGATCATCTCTCAAATCCTCCCATCCCTCAATTCCTACACTGACCCGCAACAACTTCTGATCAACAGTAGCATCTGACATTGCCCTCCACTCAATCAAACTCTCTACACCGCCCAAACTCGTGGCGTGATGGAACAATTCCAACTTGCTGGGCAACTTCTTCGCGAACCCTACTTCTTTTAAGACGATAGAAAAAACCGGTCCAAATCCATTTGGCATCTGCTTCAATAGCCACCCATCCTTAATATCCTTTTCTTGCAAACTTGCATGCTCAACTCTCAGCACCGCCTTCCTCACCACCTCTGTTTCGGGACTATCAGATTTCAGAGCATTATGTAACCACGAAACAAGATTCTGAGCTGAGGCCGATTGCTGCTTGACACGAATTTCCAGCGTTCGAACGCTGCGAATACCGAGCCATCCTTCCATCGACCCCATCACATTCCCCAGCATCACTCGCTCTTTCTGTAGCCCCTGAAACCAACCATCTGCAACATGTTTAGGATTCACAGTGAGAATACCACAGAGCATATCGGAATGTCCACCGATATACTTGGTGCCGCTATGCATGACGATATCGGCACCCCACAGAAACGGATCCTGCAGAGGCGGCGGCGCAAACGTCGCATCGACGCATAGGAACGCGCCGCGGGAATGCGCCTTCTCGGCAAAGAGAGTGAGATTGCAGGCGGTGCCTTGGGGATTTAGCGGGGTTTCCACGTGGATGACATCGCCGGGGTGGAGATCCTCGGCGGGACAATCGAGAGGGAGTTTTTGGAGCCCGGTAAGTTTGGTGTGCACGTCTATGACGCCGTGACAGCCGTGATAGCCTTCGCCGATGGAAATGCGTTTGGGGTTGAGATAGACGAGAGCGGCGTGGAAGGCGGAGAGACCGGATGTATATGTGAGAGTGGGGCCTTTGAGGATGTTGCTTAGGATTGCTTCGAAGCGGGTGGTGTTGGGGGTGCTTATGCGAGAATAGATGTGGCTATCGTGTGGTGCGTTGGGCTATCAAGTGGTGTTAGTGATGAGGTTGGAAAGATAGGAGGGAGAAAAATGCTAAAGGTAGATCATGTGATTGAAGTGTTTGAATGGACGGCGGAATACTCACATCTAGCTCACTTGCTGCAACAAGATCGTCTGGATTATTACTGTAGCGAAAGATGGTAGATACGTGCAGAGGTGGTGCAACATCTTGACCTTTGTTGAGGAAATCGTCGGCGTGTATGGTTTGGGAAGAGAGTGATAATGCAGAGAGTCCTTGATTGGGGGTGTGATCTTGAAGATCTTGTTGCCCATCTAGACCGGGCTGAGAAGTTGCCATGGTTTTCTTGTCTTGTAGATGACTTTACACTCTTTATATGCTTGTGTAAGTATGAATGTAGTTGAATTTGAATAAATGCAATGAAATTAGTTCAAGAGACTTGAACGATTATTTGTATCGATAAAGATTCGTTGCTCGGTACCTTAGTGTCAAGTCGATGGAGTAAAAAAAACTGGAGCTTTGAGATGAAATAACCGCCACCAATTGCAGACTCATGCATACTATAACCAATTATCAAATTCGAGATTGAATATTTTGAACAGAACAATTACGAACTGGCAAATGATCACACATATATCTCTATTAGTCAGTAAAGCTATGGAGGCGTAAATCATGAGCTTTTCGCTGGTAAAATTCACAGTTGTTTCTCCGCACGCCCTTCGCATTGACAATCACAATGGCGCAATGAACACGCCTTTGACAGCAACAATCATAATCGATTCTCCACAATTAGTTGCCCCAGTCATAGGTATCGCTAAAACCAACAAGTTCCCCTTTCGATTCTAATGCTACCTTGTACAAATGCTAAGAAACGGTGAGCTGTCAAAAGGGTCGAGAAGCTTGAGGTTTAACTTTTAGATATTTTAGCTATGCATCAGTTTGATGCTCATCTGGAAATTAAATGATATCTTTGCTGATATAGACTGATAAAATGCTCAATCCGAGTTTGCAACAGTCGCAGCTTGCAGTTTCTCTACAAACAGCTCCATTTCTTTCTTCATTATCTTTTTGTCCTTACACCGTTCTGCAGTGTCGAAACTTACCAAAACCGCTTTATTTTGCGATATCAAGAACTTGGTCTCGTCTAAGGAACCATGTATAATCCCCAATTTGTGTAATTGTCTGATGACGGTCTGGCAAAGAGATAGGTCGGCGGTAGTAGCTCTCCTACCTTCAACATTTTCCGTTAGCAAACCTATCACGCGTCCACCTTCAGTTATACATCCAAGAAACTTTGGGATAAGGATATTGCGATTATGTAGCCAAGAGTATACTTGAATTTCGGCGATATAGTTTGTTTCCCAGTAGAAATTGGCAACTTTAGCACAGACTGGTCTGTCGAAGGCTGGGGATGATACCAAATGCACATTGGGGTCTAATTTTCGAAGAAATTTGAGTGAGAGATAGTCAATATGACTTATTGGCTTAGGAAACCATGAGCTATCAATTGTAGGGAGGGCAGCTTTGAAGGCTTCGACCACAGTTGGTATTCCACCTACTAAGGAGATTCGGGCCAGGTTCCAACTTTCGGCATCTCCGTCGGATGGCAATGGAGGCAATTTCTTCGAGAGAAGATAAGGAGAGCAGAGATCTCTTGCGAGATATGTTCCAGCATCAATTGTAATATACTTGAAACGCTTTCCATCTACCAGAATCCGAAAGTAACTAGGTAGGATGTTCTCGATATCGGTATCTTGGTTCAGTATTTCGATTCGAGGGTGATACATCGGCAGCGGCCAATTTCCATGGTGTGATGAAACAATGATGTCTCGTACTGCAATGGATTCGATCATAATCTTGTTTGCCAACAACTGTTGTTGTTTAACATTTAGTGTTCGGCGAATGTTTCTCTCTGATACCTTCATATAACTCGGTTTCAATGCCTACCTAGGCCGTAGAAAGAATCCTACGATTCATCAACCTGTTAGTTGACACAGAAGGAATTGCCTTGCCACAAAACCACGAGTTGGTATGTTGGTGTCATTTCACCTCCTGCCTTGTGCTGAGGCGAGCATGTGAGGAATGTAAGATATGCCATATACTTGCATGTGTATGATGCTCAAGACAAATTGTCATCATTGTAGATGACCAGTCTGATGTTTGAAGTTTCAATATCATGTATTGTCAAATTGTGGAGACGGCGCTAGTCCCCGATTGATGTAGAAGTTATGATTTGTAAGCACCACACATCAATCTTAACATGTAATTTGCTGATACTAACAACATCTAAACAGATTCAAGAACCATCAAAATTCATATTCTGAGACCGTTGATGACGTTCTCCGAAATGCTGGCTCGTTTCATGATATTGTTGGTTTGATTCTATTCCTGTACAACTACCTCGCCACATCGGTTCGTTGGCCCCGACCGGCGACCACCACAAGGCCAAGGTCAATGAGAACAATCGCTAGGTATCTCTAAGGCTATCATACCATACTCGCGCGGTTATTATTGCTCACGAGAAACTACACGCGATATATTCATGGTAAGATAGGCAGATGACTTGAAGAATGAACTCGGCGAGGCCGCGTCCATATATTATGGAGATCTCCAGCTGGCTTTCTTTCTGGTCTGGTTTTCTCTTTCAGTAAATATATTATCAACTATCCAATCTTAAGTTGCCAAAATGGTCTTTGGATGGTCTTCCAGAACTGCTTTACCACCCACAGTTGGGTCAACAGATGGAAGGAATGGTCATGATTATACCTCTCTCCACTGTGTTTGTATGGCCCGATTTCTTTCTCTTCCAACCCGTACTCGATGAGCATGTGAGTCAACTGCGCCCGTATACAAAGCCGTACATTAGGTAGCTGTTTCTCGGATTTGAATGTAGTTTACATATCTATTTTGAGTCTCATACACCCGGATTTGATTCAAGATTAACTTTTCTGTGGTAAAGAACAATTCTCTTTAACCTTCAAAATGACTTCCGAAGATTCAATACTCAAATCATCAAGACTTCACCACATAGATACATCATCTAATGGCGGTGTTTCTGGACCTTTCTGGGACTCAAACGAGCGTTGCTTTTGGCTGATGAATAACCGTCAAGTCTACACGCATCCTGAAAATTATAGCGGAAGTTCTGCTTGCGCAACTATAGCATCGGCAAACCCTGATTCTGCTTACCCGTCCGGCTGGTCTAGGGGTCAACGCACGCGATCACTATCGGGTTCTGACAGTTCGCCAGATTCAGCATCACATGAATCCAAACGCATTCGCCCGGAGTCTCTTGGCGGTGCACTCCCAAAGAATACACAATCGAAACAGCCTTTGCGTCAGGGTACTCTGGAACAACAACGCAAGTTTCCACAGTACGATTTATCCAATCTTCCACCTCCACCCCCCTTTCCTCCTCAAAGGCCCCAATCGGTTCGTTTTTCCCCAAATATATCTTATTCGGATGACCCTGTGAAAAATCATAACCCAGGACCATCCCTACCCAGCTTCCCTCAACGCTCTCAATCTGTTCGTGTCTCAAACGAGCACGATCAAGGCTTCACTCGCTCCAGAAATCCATCCCCCTCCTCTCCCCCATCTTCCTCTTCACGTCTCCAACATAAACCCCTTCCCACTCGTCCCCAATCTTTCCCAGCCTCAACCTCAGCACCATCGTCATCATCAAACCTACCTTCAAAATCCACCTCTCCCCTCCCCACCCCCTACAGCACCCATCCCCCCACCACCCGCTACACCCCTCCCAAATATCTCCGCGATCCCGAACACGAAGACGAAGATTTTTCCTCCCCCTCCTCCGCCTCGTCCGCCTATTCCTATTCCAAATCCCCCTCTTCCTCCTCCTCATACTCACACCATCGCGTCCCCTCTTCCCGCGACCGCCACGAATCCCAACGTCACCGCACGCACCACCGTCGCATCGAATACGACTACGACACTGATACCGATCTCTCCGATCAGAAAGAAAAGAAACTCAGAAGACAGAAACGTACTCGTGAACGTACCCCTGACGAACAGAAGAAACATGAAAAAACTTTGAAAGGTATCGGGGAGACAGGAAGAGGAGATATGGGACGAGCGGCTTTGCTGGGAGCCCTTCCTTTTGTGTGCCTTCTGGCGAGATTGGCGGCTTAATGTATTTTCTTCTTCTCTTTCTACTTCGAGCTTTGTAGCTTGCTCACACTCTTTTACGTATTATTGGCTGGGTCTTGGGATTGTTTATTAGGAGGATAGGTTTGATTTGGGATTCATGAATAAATTGTGGATTGGCGGGTGAAGTGTTGGAGTTTGGGTGTGTCTACCTACGTAGCCGTCATGCGGCAGCCACTCTTTCAGCGATTCGTAAAAACAATAGAAGACAAACATTTATTTCGAAGAACTTAAAATCCTGCCTTGTGAAATCTTCCTTATATATTATCACGTTGATTCATTCGTTCAACATCCCAGATGTGCTCTATCTTCGCTACGTTTCCAAATCTATGTAACCAATGTAAAAATCCACGAAGAGAAAATAATTGAGAAAACCTAGTGATCATCCATTGTCATAATGTCATTATAATTTTGTGCATATGTCTCATTTGCATCGCATCCCGAAAATATCCCCGTGGCTCCGATCAAGAATGTAAATATAACTCCTCTCGCCTCCTGTCAACCTTCAATTGATTCGTCACATGACTACGCATTTTGCTGCATTCTTCTTCTGCTGCGGCTGCGGCTGCGGCTGCGGCTGCACCTCTGAATCTTCTGCTACAATCGCTGGTGAAGTAGCAGGTCGCGAATCCCATGTCACGTCTGTCCAACCTGCACTACTTGCCGCATCGCTTTTGTGCTTAGTTCTCTTTGCCATCATACTCTTTCTCCAGCCGTTTTTCTTAGCATTTTTGACATTTCGTGACGCACTGCGCTCTGCTCTGCTTGGTTGTCTGGTAATAGGTATTGGCGGTATATTGTAAGGTGAGGTGACTCGAGTAGAAGTTGCACTATGGATTGTCTCGAGACGTTGGAGAGGTGGACGTAGGCTGTTTGGCGACGCAGAATATCTTTGCGAACCAAGGCTGGTTCGTCGAGAAGGAGAACCATGACCAGAAGGAGGACGAAGGCCTGTGTTCGGACGGTTAGGGCTTTCTCCGTAAGTCCCAGCGGCTGCACGGGGTGGTGTAGACAGGCGACTTGATTGCTCAGGAGCAGTATGAGAAGCTTGTTGAGATTGATTGATAAAACCTTGCAGTGGCACAGAATCTCGAGGGTTAGAGCCAGAACGACGTCGAGATGGATCCCTGAGAATATCTGGACGTCCACTTCGACTATTGAATCGCGCCAAA